CCCTCAAGAACTCTAGAAGGTGTAGCGGTCGAAAGGTGTTTGAGTTTACAATTACAACGCTAATGAAATGATATTGAAATGAAATGCATTATCTACAATCTGGTTTCGATTAAGTGCTCTACGTTCGTACGCATATCGTACTATCAGTCCTCATCAGTCGTTATCACTTTTGACCCCCACCAAATATGTTCCCGTCCCACCCCTATATCATGTCCCAAAATCAGCTCCTGACGACTGCTGCGAAGCGCACTATGAATTTCGTGAAATTTGTGTTTCAGCGCCTCTTATCTGCTCTTATCAGTCGTTATCACTTTGTGACCCCACCAAATATGTTCCCGTCCCACCCCCTATATCATATCAAAAAATCAGCTCCTGACGACTGCTGCGACGCGTGCTATGAATTTCGTGACACACACACACACAGACATAGCGCTTTATATATAGTAAGGATAGAACTGATTTATTTTTTCCCTCTTAAGATTACACCAAAATATTACAGGTCGTAATCAAAGTGACCCGCAATGACCAAATGATCCAACAATGAAGGAAAACTAATAAAAATGGTAACACTCTCGGAACTTACCTTGTTACGGTAAGTTGCTGCAGCAGAAAGTGAAACTCCCCAAGTGAAAGCCAGGATGGCAGGCTTTGGCATAAGTTGAAAATAGCGCTTAAAGAAAGTCCTTGGTCTAAATTTCTCGGCTGGTACCGAGCCAGTTGATTTAATCTCACACATCGTGTACGGCAGCACTGCAAAGGAGCAGAATGAATATGTAACATTTATAACATTCAGAATGCAACCGCTTACTTAGCATCGCGGTGTATTTTGCCATAGCCAGACCCTTCTCATGAGCAGCCTCATTCAGTGGTTTTTCGAAGAATCGTGGTCCAAAGTGGTACCAGTGGTTGGTGAAGAATCCCCCACGACCGAGCTCCCATTTTGGAACTGCAAGCTTAGAGTTATAGTGAAGAGAAGCTGAAAATGAATCGATGCGCTTACTGTTAAGTAGCTCGCTGAGAGCCGGATTAACATCGAATCCCGGATGTTCCTTGCTTATATCGAATTTTTCGACAATATTTTTATACTGATGGGAACTCTTCCACATCTGAATTCATCTTTTTTTTTTCTGAGAGAACGAATCAATGCACAGGACTCAAACCTTTGTTTGGAAGTCTTCCAAACTTCCTGGTTGGTCGGCTTTAATAGTGATATTGTTATGGTACATCGAATCAAGGCCAATCGGACCAGAATTAGATGTTCCATCAGGGACCTTAACATATACTTGAGGTACACAGAAATAGGATCACCCGACATAAAGTGACAAGACTTCGAAAAGGCAGAAAAACTAAAGCAACATTTACAGGTTTACCTTAGGATCAAAGAACACCGGATCTTCCTCCTTATAGCGGTGACGTACCAAACGCAGCTTTCCGCTACGAACAACATCATCCCGAACACCGGCCTCCTTCCACCAATCCGGGCGACCCTTGCTAAATCAGAAGAGGCTGCCTGATGATCAACTGTCAATTTTAGGCTACGAAGCTCTGAAAAACGAGAAACCAAAAAGATTTATGGAATCAATATTTTCCTCGACGATCTCAATTCACGCATACGTTTTCGTCAGCCCAAACACAACAAACAAACGAATCACAGAAAAATACACGACCAGAAAGACCTGTTCAGAAGCTTACCATAAGGTTAGACTCTTTAGAAGCCCGTATCGATTGGAGCAAAATCAAAAAGATACCTAACGCATGGCCAGCACCAGCTGTACTAATACTAGTCGCAGCTTTTAGGCTCTTAATCGCGAAAATACTGATGCAGTTGGAATAAGTATAGTCGATAGAACATAAATTAGGTCTAGGCTCATAATTACCGTTGCGAATAGTATTATCAAGAAAATAAAGTGTGAAGCATCGAGTTGATTGTAGGATTTCGTTGGAACATTAAAATCGAAGTTAAATAGATAAAAACTCGAACCTATAAACTCGAAAAGAGGCACATGCCAGTGAAAACTTCAAGAATTTAGTTTACTGACATATAATCCCCCAAAAAGAGACCTTCGAGATTTTTGTTAGTAGGGTGACACTCCACGAAGTGCTTTTGTATTCCTCTAAATGCCCGTCACAGCTACTTGACGTGTCCAGAACAGTTCTGTGTGTGCTCCCATATTGCACTCCGCTCCGCCTAAAAGAGTACTTGATCGTTATAACTCGCGGACACCAGTTCTCTGCCTTCAGTCAAGTGCCTATCCACCCTCAAACCCTGGTTCGTTCTACATTCCTATTTCACGGATTCTGCTTTTGGAAGCTAAAACCGCAGTGCCCTCTGAAGTACTTGCGTATTGCCATTGGGTATGGACATGAAAAGTTTAAATTACACCCTCAGAATTGCAAAAGTCGCAAAGTCGGAGCATTCCTAGGGTTAGGGCGGATAGAAAACCTTTTTCGCTGCGCCGTATGACTGAATGTTGGGGGGGGCGGATGGGATAGGGAAAAGCTTGTTTCACTCTTCATTGCTGTTTTGTGTATAAGTAAGTATTGACGGCCTGATCGGCGACCAGGACAACTATGAGGAGCATTTTACCATCCTATAATAGTGTTACCCCACAGAAATATAAGGCGGATACTAATCACACTCACGACTACATTGTTAAAATCAATGGTGTTAAGCTCCTAAATAGGCACTCGAACGAACTTTTATGGAGTCTAGATTCACGGCCGTCAATGCTTCAAAAAAAAAAAAAAAACTCGAGCCTTACTATTCACGGCTACTCCACAGTCCAATCCATGGTGGCCGTTGTGTCTTGTAGGTGGCAACGAGAGGAGTGCCCTCGTCGTGGCCCATGGTTCACTGCAAACGTAAACAATGAAAATGTACAGATCAAGTAGATGGGAAAGGATCAAATCATTGGATGGACGATGCAGATTTTGCGCATTGGAGCTATTTGCACATTGCAGACGACGGTCGCTGAGGTTTGACCCCGATCCGAATACCGAATACGCCACGGCGCGCTCGGTGTAAAGCTCCGTCGCCCTCGCATCGCTGAGCGAGTCGTCGCTCCTGCACTTAGGTGCAAACCCTTCCAATCCAGTATCGGCCATTTGTTACGAAACGGACACGAATTCTACGGCGAGACAGAGAAAGCTGTGAAACAAAATGGATGCAAGTGAAAACGGACGACTACATACAGAAAAGCAACCGAAGGGATGACATGTGAAATTTCTTCACTGAAATTGAACAACCACAACTTTCGAAATCCTATTCCCTTTCCATTGCTTATGAATAGAACGTAACGGAGATCGTGTGCAAAACTATGGAGAATGGTGCGACATCTTTATTCACAAGCTTACATGATGCTAAGTTTTAGAAGGAGCAATTCGAAAGCAGTTTGCACCCAAGACTGTAAACCACCGTGTACTTTGGAAAGTGGTCAGGCGCCCGATCCCCGCGATATATGTTGATGGGAGAACAAAAAGAGGAATAAAGTCAGATGGCTTACTCTACTGAAAACCGCATAGGAAATATAAAAGATCAAAGTAAGAGAATACACAAAATCTACTTTCAGTAGTTGTAAAATGGTTTTGGAGATCGTAATTGAAGGAAAGCAACATGATTCACGAAGTAAAGAGCAATGGGCGCAGCTGGGACACTACCTTCACTTGTAATTGCTTGCGAATCTAGAAACTTATATACGGAAAAAAAGACAGCGAAAAAAATGATCGAACCAGTCACAATCGCTAAAGTGATTGTGAGCGTAAAACGCCACCTCGCTCCATCATCGCCACCTCGCTCCCATCACGGAACTCATTTTGGGTAAATAATGAAGGTTTTGAGAAAGCCGTTCCCTCTCTTCCCTGAAACTCTACAGCCATATAAAAATATGGTAACCATAGAAAAGCGACTAAAAAGCGATGCAAATGGACCATTGATGGCTTCAGCTTCAGCTGCTGGGCCTCACCACTTCGCCGCTACAGTACCCTCAGCGCCGCCTATTTGCCCGAACTAATTCCAAGCAGTGACTTTGTCTGTGTGCCGCTCTATAGTCTTCTATTCTTCTGCGCGATGTCTTATTAAAAGGGTGGGGGAAAATCATTCATCATGAACTTTTTCCACGAAACACCGAACTTATCGGTTTTTTTGAATTCGGTTACTACGGTAGTCTGCAAAATCGCGTACATGTGTTCCACGCAGGGATGACTTTGAAGTGCAGATTCCGTTTTGTTTTTCTTGAAGATATCCCTTCTTTTGTACAATAGCTGATTGTCGCGTATTCCTCAATGTTAGATGTTGATAAATGAAATCATTTGGTAGCCGAATTGTGCTTTGTCAAAGCCATTGCTCATCACTTTGCTTCGTTCCATATCTTTCTTGGTGTTTTCCAAACTTTATGCTGGACCTCAGAATGTGAAAAACTCATTCCAGGGAGTACTTCTGAAATCTGATAGATGTCCGGGAATGACGATGCGGACGCAATGGAGATCAACGAGTTTGGCTTGAAAAATGCCGCCACCATTGGATTGATTGATCCACAAGATGCTGTGAGTGGACGTTTTTATGCTTGAATGAAGTGTATGCTTATCGGTGTTAGGGTTCCATATCAGGTGACTTCCCACAAAGGCAATATCTTTTTCAAGCATAGAGTCAAAGTTCTGCGCCCTTATGGTGTGGTCATACTTTGCGACTGCCTCGCTCTTCGTTGCAGTTTGAGTGTGAGGTAGATACGTATTGATCATGCGACCGCAAGATTACGCAGTCGCGACATTACATGGTCTGTGGGTATATGTAACTCCACATTGGTTTGCAAAACGGTAGCAAAGTATTCATCGCCCCCACAGGTGAGGTGGGCGTCATTCTGAGAATATGTGATCGTATGGCTTCAAAAATCCAACACACCCGTGAGACACTGTTACTTAACTTTAAGCTTGAAAATCTACTTTCAACTACATGAATGCACATTCCCTATTAACATGGTATGCCTACTGGGTTCAGTCATAGAATATGGATGCATGTGATCCGTTAGTGAAGAAAAAGTAAACGGCATCGTTGAAATTAAACGAGTAAGGTTTGAAACATTGTGTGAGTTCACGCCGAAGTGCACGCCTTTAGTAAAGATTTCGACGATGATGGGATGAGATAGTGTTGAAGCAGAAGAGAAGCAGACACATTT